GCTGATGTCTCCGTCCACTCTGACCACGACCACCGCCGCTGCCATCATGTCCGCGCCCGGCAAGCTGTGCTGCTGTGAGGAACTACACGGGGGCGGTGGTGGTGCCGTGATGCTGGTCGCTCTGTGCACCAGGTGTTGTCAGCGGATGAGGCTGGTGACCATCTCCCCTTCTCTGGTCGCCCTCACGGCAGTCTCTCCCCGGGGTTCAGGTACGGTTGTGAAATTAATTGTTGAAGACGGGCTACCCGTTGTCGAGGAAGGAAAAGTGGCCGTCTTTTTGACAAGTTGACGTCTTGTACGCTGACATTATAGTATTTTAAGAAGGGGAAGGGGGTGGGAAGCGGCCGTTTGTGCAGGTAAATAATTGTCCTATACTGATGGCCTCATAGACTGACTGTCTCGCCCCGGGGTTCAGGTATGGTCTGCGAGAAATGTGTTGCCCATTGTACAGGAGGGAAGGAAAAGTGGCCGTCTTTTTTTAGACAGGTTGACGCCTTGTACGCTGACATTATAATGATGTTTTAAGAAATGGAAGAGGGGGGTGGGTGGGAGTGGGGAGCGACCGTTTGTACAGGTAAATAACGGTCATATATACTGATGGCCTCATAGACTGACTGTCTCGCCCCGGGGTTCAGGTACGGTTTGTTGCGAGAAATTGTTGAAGACGGGCTCCCCCCGGTGTCGGGGAAGGAGACGTCGTCTTTTTGACAGGTTGACGTCTTTACGCTGACATTGTAGTGTTTTAAGAAGGGGGGCGGGCGTTTGTACAGGTAAATAATTGTCATACTATTGTGCTGATGGCCTCATAGACTGACTGTCTCGCCCCGGGGTTCAGGTGCGGTTTGAGAGAAATTTTTTGTCCACCAAGACGGGCTGCCAGGAGGGAAAAGTGGCCGCCTTTTTAGACTGGTTGACGTCTTACACACTGGCATTTTAATAATGTTTTAAGAAATGAAAGAGTGAGTGGTTGACATGGTCTGGTGTGGTTTGGTTCTTCTTTCCTTATTGTGCTGCATGTGCCGTTGAACACTTACTGAAACTAAAAGAAATGGAAGAGGGGTTGGGTGGGAGTGGGAAGCGGCCGTTTGTGCAGGTATAATA